TTAGACACTTGTGGTATGGAGTCAAGTGTACAGAGATAAGCCAGGGGCAGGCCTCGGCACGATCCATGAAAGCTAGGAGGGAGAGAAGTTTCAGTGCCCATCGGAAGGAAGGAGGCAGACAAGAGTAAGGCACATCTGACTCTTAGGACTAGCAGTCAGAGCCAGAAGGAAAGGTTTTATTGCTATACTGGTAGGTAAGAACAGATTTTACTTATGTCCATATAGTTTGTCTGAAATTATAGTTGTTTTCTGTGTTTTTGTTTTGTTTTTGTTTTTGTTTCTTTTTGCTAAAATAACATGTTGAGCCCAGCAAATAAAATAGTCCAGTCTAGTTGTACTCATCTAGAGTCTTAAAATCCCTTTTCCAGTGTCTTCACTTGCCCTGATGATGAAATCTAATGTAATTAATGCCCTTGAGAGCCAGTAGGCACTTTAAATCTTAACATTATAATCATAATGGTTGATAATCATACTTGAAAGTATTAGCCTCTGTTGCCCTCTTTCCCATTTCCCCTTCATAGTGGCTCACAATAATGCCTTAGGAGAACACCCTTTAAGCGTTTTTATTTTAAATCTTTTAATTTTTTGCAAAGGGCTAGCTTGGGGGTGTGAATTCCTTAAGGGGTGGGTGGGTTGGGGGTATTTTGAAATTGGCTTTAGCTTAGAGAGGAGATAATACTGAGAGTTTCTTGCTTTTCCAGGAAGGAAGTTGCTGTCCCTACCTGGTCAGCCCTCTAAAAACTAGAGGCCTTTGGCATATTCAAGTGGCTGCTTAAAATGTAAGTTAGCTAACGTGGTGAGTATTTTGAAGGCTGGGAAAACCAAACTGAATAGTAATGGTGTTTAAGAATAGCATTGGGGGGGTGGGGAGGCGTCCTGAGGTTAGGATTCAGGTGTTGATTTCAGTGCCAGCTTTCTGCCTGAGGAAGACAAAACAAAGCAGTTGCACACAGCACAAGTAGGTAGGTGCTCATCATGCTGGTTGAATGAAATCTCCTTCTCCTTTTTTGCAGGAACATCGTTTAAGGTGCAGAATTGAAGCCACTTGTGAATTGAGCTGCTGTGCAGCTGACTTCTTGCCTGCTGTGCAGCTCACAGATTTTTAAAGAATGGATATGTTTTAGTAAAAATGTTTTTAAAATGAATTATCTGCCTTCTGTCTGTCATGATGTCTCAGTTTCTGCAGCACCTTCTGAAACTTAACTTGGAGAAGTTGGCCTCTGGTAACATGTTTGTTTGGGGAAGGGCTAAGACTAGGGCCCACACCTCAAACCCCCCCCCCCCCGGCCAGTTTGCTGCTCTTTGAACAATGGATAGTAATAGTAATAGCCCTTACTATGTGCCAGGCATGTCTAAGCTCTTTCCGATTATCTCAGTTGATCCTCAAAACAATCCCAGGGGGTAGTAGGTGCTATTATCTCTATTTTGTAGATGGGAAAACTGAGGTGACTGGCTAGTAAATGTCTGAATTCTTATCCACTGTGTCCTAGCTGCCTTTGAATAATAGAATGGCTTTGAAAAACCAGCAGAGAACCACATAAAGGTGGGAAAGAAAAGGCCAGACTTCTTTGTGTAGAAAGAAACTGCCTTAGAATAAAAAGGTACAGGGCAGCTACATGCCTCAGTAGAGTTCATATCTGACCTCAAGACAACAATTAACTAGCTGTGTGACCCTGGGCAAGTCACTTAACCCCATTGCCTAACACCCCCCCCAAAAAAAAAGTTCAAATCTAGCTCAGCGTTATGTTGGCTGGCTACCTGTAGGCTTAGAAGTATCCAATCTGATGAGGTGGGTAATCTGCATAGTTACAAATTAGCTTCTTTGCCACAATCTTACTTGGAAAAGTGGCTTTCTTAAATGGGCTCCATGAAGGCCGGCCACCTATTTGACAGTCTCTTGTTCCATTTGTGTGTATTAAGCTGCAGTTCCCTGGCTCCATAAGCAGGACAAGCTATGTTAGTCATGCTGACAACCTGAGCACAAATCTCAAACCTTAATGTGTTGGGGTAGTTTTAAAATTGGTCTTTTCTTAGATCCTTCTCCGCTCGCCTGTTGAGGTTTGTTTGATAATTATAACTGTGTTTGGGGTTGTGACTTTCAGCTCCCACTGGCTCTCTTAGGTTACTGATGTAAGGTGAGCAATGATATGGTTATAAAATATGCTCCTGATAGTACAGTAGATAAGCCCAGTGAAACCAAGTAACAAATAGAATTGGAGTCTGTCTAGGTTGTGACATAGCTGCCTTTCCCTGGAAGGTCATAGTAAGGATAGAAAAGTACTGTCGAAGAGCATGAGAGGCCAAGGAAAACTAGGCTTTTTAAATAAGGTAATTGGAGCCCAGAGATGAGAAGTAATATTTTAGATTTGTTGATAAGCTTCTCCCCTAGCAGTAGATAATAAATTATCTAGCCTGTAAAAAATACTGATCCTGGGCTTGCCAACTAAGACAAAAGGATAGAATCATTACTATGGGTTTGTAAATCCATTTCTTAAGAATCAACCCAGAGCTAGATAATGTAAGTATTGGCCTCCTTTCTACGGTAACCATGAGCACCTTGCAAAGTGTCTAAGGTGATGCTGGGAATAAGTCTGCCTCCTCAAGGGCCCAGCCATCTTTTCAGCTAGGTTTCTTAGCTTTCAAACCCCTCTCACCAGCCATTATTTGTCAAGCTCTTCAAAATACTTAATTTGCCTATGCTTGTTTCCTATGCCTTTGAATAGGTTTTTGCCAACCCACACTTTGTAGAATAGTACTTTTAAATCTCAAGTCAGTTCTTCCAAGTTTTCCTATATCAGCATAACAGCCCTCCTCACCTCCATCCCCACCCCCATTTACATGTAGCACCATATAGGTTATGCATTTATTTCTCTACTAGACAGTAAGCCCTGTGAAGAGTGTGCATTCTGTGGAGTCTCCCTACCAAGAAAGGGGTCACTTGCATAGGCAGGTTCAGAAAAGTCCTTAGATCATTTATCTAGTTCATGGTTTGGTTTTGTTTTTCTTCAAACCATGGACATCATCTCTGGAATTAAAATGGACTAGTTATGTTGAGTTAAAGATGGAATTTTTTTCCCCATTTATGGCACCGGTCTGAACCCAGGTCCTACCTATTCTAACTGGGGGCATCTAGGTGGCACAGTGCTCTGGGCCTGGAGGCTGGAAGCCGGGTGTTCAAGTCTGTCCTCCAACATTGTGTGACCCTGGGCAAGTCACAACCTTTGCCTTGGCTTCCCCATCAGTAAAACGGGGATAATAGCATCTCCCGCCTAGGGTTGTGAGGACCACAAAAGAAAATGTAAAGCACCTAGCACAGTGCCTGGCACATTGCAATGTATAAATATGAACTATTACTAATTGTAAAGCATATGGCACATAGTGCTATTTAAATGTTAACTATTATGAAATCTTGTTGTATATGAATAAATTGACATTTTGCTTTTAGAAATCAGTAGGACAGAACTGGTCCTGAAGCCAGGTAAATGATTTCCTTCTCTGGGAGTTCCCTATAACTAATGAGATTACTGGTCCAGTTCCTACTTTGGTAAAGGGTAACTAGCCCTTTAAATCAATGAAATCAGATTTCAGGAAGCTGAAGGTCTGGTTCTAGACAATAAAGACCTGTCTCCCTCCAGCCCCCTACCCCAAGCTGCAGCAGCTCCATAAATCTCAGCTCTGAAGCCACCAGTAGAGTGGAGGCTACCCATATAGTTTTCTAAATCACCATTCAATGGAATGGAGCACTTGAGGTTATCCAGCTGTCTGAACCAATGCTTTAAAAACAAAATAGGGTAGGGTTGCAGCGCGGTGGGTTTAGGGGAGACCCAGAATTTCTTGAATGGAATGACAAACCCTGGAACAGGTTGGTTAGAGATGGTGGCTTTTTTTTTTTAGGATGGAGGAGAGGGAAGGTGAGATTTCAAGATTATAAATGGGCTAGCTCCATCCCCTGCTTTCCAGACCTGGTTGTCAATCTTTTTTTTTAAACCAACTTGATCCTAATCTATCATGTTCAGGGTCTGGATCCTTTTGTCTAATTGCACTCTTCTTGCTCCAATCCAAGACCTCCCTTTGGAAATGGGGAGTGCCCCTTCTACACTCCCTTCAAGCTCAACACCTCCACCTCATCTAACAGATTCTCCATTCTGCTTACTGACATTGCTAGTCTCTGATACTCTACCCCCAACACCCACCAGCTTTTTCTTTTTTGGTAGTTTCCATTCTGACAGTTTGGGATCCTCTTGGGGGCGCCAAGTCTTTCTAAACAGCACAGTGGGATGACCCCTATCTTTGGAACCAAAGCATACTCCTAGGCTAGCTTCCTCTTCTGAAATTGAGTTAATTCGTACAAGAGAGTTAGGTAGTATGTGAATTCAGGGAACACAGTCGTTTGACCTAGGCCAAACAGATTTAGCAAAGCTCATCATAAAGTGATAAGAATTTTAACACACCTTTTTCGGTAAGGATCAGTGGTAGTGGTGGGGCCCCCCTAAAACTTGCCTATTAGACCTGTTTGGGCTCTATTACAGCTAGGCCCTGGGCTGATATCATTAGAATAGAGGTTGATGGACTTTCATAGATAGGGAAGGATAGGATGTATTTGTGCCTTTTTCTTTTCTACTTCCTGACCCGCTCCCCAACCCCAAGCTTTGGGGAAATCATCTGTCCTCTAGGGGGAAATGTCCCTGGGAAGTGAGGAGATGGAAGAAGTATTGTACCAAATGCAGTCCCCTGTATCAACAGGGTCCCCTGGTCTGGAAGGGGCAGAGATGATAACTGCTATTCATCAAACCTCTAGAACCTAGTATTTTCTTCCTTCTGTTACTGGGGAATATTGGCGACAAGACCCGTTCTCCAGGATGCAACCAGCATCTTCTCCATTCATTTAACCACTTCCCCACACCCCCACCCTTCCTTTACCCTCAACAGCTCTGGACTGTGAGCAGGCTCTGTGTTGATGCCCAGCACTACCCAAATTGTACAAGTGAAAGAAGACCAAATAAAGTTTTCTGTATCATGCTTTATCATTCAAAGCTTAATTTGAGTCCTTGGAGGTGGAGGGGCCTGTCTGGAGAACTGAAGAGAGGGAGGCAATTAGGAAGACAGCAGACAGCTTCCAGGCCTCCTACATCCCCCAAACCAGGCTCTCCTGAAGTTACCATAATGCCATTCCTAGTTGTACCCCTACCCTCCACTTCCCCAGAGATGCCCTTCTCCTTGAGCCCTCCAAATCAATTCAATTCTCCAACCTCTGCTCCGAAAGGCCAAGTTTGAGGAGCATCTTTCTGAGAAGGGCAAGGCAAGGGAAAGAAGGAAATGCACACTTTACTACCTCCAATTTCTTTTCCCTCCTAATTTCTCTTCCCCTATTCAGTCTGATGTCTCCATCTTGACACCCCTGGGCACCAAGAAGATGGCACCATCAGCAGCCTGTTGCAAAGCATACTCTTCTGGAGAGTAGCCATTGCCAGCTTCATCACGCAGCCTCCGGAAGACATCTCTGTACAGCTCTGCCAGCTGCTGGCGCATGGCCCCCAGGGTCCGGTTGGCCTCCCCTCGGGCCCTGAGTAGCCGTTCCCGCTCATTGCCCAACCTCTCCAATTCACGTTCTAACTGCACAATGGTCTCCAGCTTCCTTTTTCGACAGTTCTGGGCAGCCACCTTGTTCTTGCCCCGCCGCCGGATGTCCCGGACCAAGGCCAGCTGGCTCTCACTAAGTGGATACCTAGCCACTAACTCATTAAAGTCATCCACAGGTAAGTTGACAATTTTCTCAGTGGGGAAGGGGATCTTCATGGCCAGAGCCCTGCGCTCATCCCTGCTTCCTGACTCCCCTCGTCCTGAGGGTTTGGCCCTTCCAGGGCACATCGTGGGTTCAAAAGTCAAGTGAGTCTCTGGAGGTGGCAGAGCATAGTTGGAATGGACTAGAGAGGTAGGCATGAGTGGATAGGGGTGCTCCACTGGGAACATCTCCACGTATTCTCCTCTCTGTCTCCCAGCCTCTATTCCCTCCATCTCTAGGGATTCTGCATCGCTGTAGTTGAGGGATAAACCAGAGTCAGATTCAGGATCTTCTTGAGGTTTGGTGGGTCCCACAGGTAGCCCCATGTCCAGCAGGGACAGGGACTTGGGGAGAGGTTCGCTGAGGAGTCCTGAGAGGGTCATGGGCTTGGAAACAGGAAGGGCCAGGCTGCCATATGCATAGGGAGAGTCCGGAACCAGGGCGGAGGGTGGAGGGAAGTCCTGGTAGAGACCCTCATAGGGTGAGGTGAGGTGGTTGCCAGTGTCGGGTAGAATTGGGCAAGGTCCATAAGCAGGAGGAGGTGCAGGCCCAGAATATGGCACTGGGGACTCAAAGGTTGGCTCATTTTGAATATCAAGGCCCTGTGGGAAAAAAGACAGGTCAGTTCACTGTGAAAGAAGCTCTCACAGTGACAAGGCAATCTTATTGCACTTCCTTAAACTGATTCCCTATCCCAGTCATCATAGTGATTTTTCTAAATCCTTTCAGTCCCCCTTAAACCTCTTGTGGCTCTGTCATCAGAGGACCTTTGCCTCATATTTTGTAGAGGGCCAGCTTTGGGGAGTTGGAGGGCTTAGGCCAGACCGGGTCTTACCTGTAGGTTGTACTAAGCCCGACAGCTGGGAAACTCAGGATGTTGGCTCACCACCCCCCTGTTCCGTCTCTTGAGAACAGGATGCAGGAAGGGAAGAAACAGATGGGGTACAGGACAGGACACAGGAAAGAAAGTAACAGACAAGGTACAAGGAAGTGAGGAAATCACTTAATTAGGTTGGTGCTTTTTATGGAAAATAATGTTACTACTGCTTGATCCAGTACTATGTAAGCCTGAGCCCTCAGATCAATAAACCGAGTTTGCTCTTCACATCTTCCACCTGGCCCATGATTCTTTCTCTCTTCACGCTCTGCTGGTGTCAGACCACGGCCGCAGATGCAGGCGCTCGAGGCAGTATTTCTTTGAAAAAAATCAAGGCAATTCATGGAGAGCTCCCTCTTCTGTTCTCATCTCTACTCCTGTCTCAGAGGAAGAGGTGGCCCTTCTCCTTTGCCAAGGCAAACCATTCTACATGCACAAGTGATGCTATTCCCTCCTGTCTTCTCCAGCAGACTGCCCCCTCTATCATCCTTACTCTTTTACTTGCCTTCCACCTCTTCCTATCTACTGGCTCCTTCCCTACTGCCTGCAAACATGCCATCCTCAAAAAATCTTCATTTAATCTATCTATCTTCCCTTTTGTGGCTAAATCCTTGAGAAGACTGTCTACACCTCTCCTCTCCCTCTCTTAACGCTCTAAAATCTGGCTCTGACCTCATCATTCAACTGAAACTGCTCTATCTGAAGTTACCAGTGATCTCTTAATGATCCAATCTAATAGTGTTTTCTCTCTCCTCATCCTTCTTGGCCTCTCTTTAACCTTTAACGTCATCTGTCCCCTTTTTCTCCTGGGTATTCTCTTCTCTTTTCGGTTTTCATGACATTGCTTTCTCTTGTTCTGACTGTGCCTTCCGAGTCTCTCTTGCTGGATTCTCTTCCAGATCACACTATGGGTGTTCTACGGGGCTTTGACCTTCACCCTCTTCTCTTATCCCTCTGTTTTTGTTGTTGCTGTTGTTGTTGAAACAATGGGGGTTAAATGACTTGCCCAGGGTCACACAGCTAGTTCAGTGTCAAGTGTTTGCAGTCACATTTGAACTCAGGTCCTCCTGACTCCAAGGCTAGAGCTGTATGCACTGCACTACCTAGCTGCCTCTCCTCTGTACTGTTTTGCTTGGTGATCTCATTAGCTCTGATGCAATTATCATCTCTGTGTAGGCGTTCTTCAAATCTTTTTATCTGTCCCTAGTCTTTGCTGACTTCCAGTCTAGTATCTCCAACTTCCTAGTGGACATGTCTATGGGGGGAACTGGATGTCCCGTAGATATCTTAAACTCAACATGTCTAAAACTGAATTCCTCGTCTTTACCCTCAAGCCTTCTCTTCTTCCTAACTCTCCTGTTATTGTCAAAGGCATCACTAAGTCACCAAGGCTTGCAACTTAGGTATCATCTTTCCTCAATTCCCATCCCTCCCCCCGCCCCACACACACTCCCAATTCAATCTGTCCTATTGATTTTACTTTTGTAACATCTCCCACATATGCCTCCTTCTCTCCCCACTTTCTGTAGGCTCTCATCACCTCACAGCCAGACTATTGCAACTGCATGCTGGTTGGTCTCTCTGCCTCAAGTTTGTCCCCACTCCAGTCCATCTTCTACTTACCTGTCAAATTGATCTTCCTTACGCATGAGTCTGACCATGTCTCAACACTGGCCTTCTTTCCCCTGCCCCATTCAGTCAACTGTAGTGACTCCCTGTTACCTCCAGGATTAAATATAAAATCCCATGGCTTTTAAAGCCCTTCATAACCTGACCCTTCCTACTGTTCCATTCTTCTTACATTTTACTCCCTTTCACGTGCTCTGTTATTCAGTGACCCTGTCCTCTTTGTTATTTCTCCAACAAAACACACCATCTCCCATTGTTGGCCCTACCCCTCCACCCTGACCCCCCTGCCCATGGAATTCTTTCCTTCCTCATCTCCATCTTCTGCCTCCTTCAAGTCCTAGTTAAAATCCCACCGACAAAAAGCCTTTCCCAACCCTCCTAAGTGTTAGTGCCTTCCCTCTGTGATTATCTCCAATTTGTCTGGCATATATCTTGTCTCTGCATAGTTATTTGCATGTTGTCTCTTCCATTAGACTGTGAGCTCCTTGAGGGCAGGGACTGATTTTTTTTTAGAATTTTTTTGCCTTTCTTTGTATCTCCAGCATTTAGCACAGTGCCTGGCACTTAGTAAATGCTTAATAAATGTTTGTGGATTGAATGACTAATTGAAGGATCTGAAATGATAAAGTCTAAAGGATAGAAGTTTGAGGGAATAGAGAGCACATAGGATGGGACAGAAAATATAGTCTGTTCACTGAGTTCTGACAAAAGCAAGGGCTCTTAACCTGGGGTTCAGGAACTTATTTTTTAATAAAAATTTAGATAAATTTATTTCATTATAATTTATTTCCTCTGCAATGCTGTAGATGTTTTATTTTCTGTATTGAAAAACATGATTCTGAGGAGGGTTTCACAGGCTTCACCACACTGCCAAAAGGGTCCTTAACACAAATCAAGAATAAGAAGCCCTGGACCATTAACAAAAATGCAAATAAAGAGGCAGCTAGGTGGCGCAGTGGATTGAGCACTGGGTCTGGAAGACCTGAGTTCGGATCTGAACCTAGGTACTTGCTGTGTGACCCTGGGCAAGTCACTTAGCCTCTGTTTGCCTATTTTCTCATCTATAAAATGGGATAATATTAGCACCTGTCTTCCAGGGTTATTGTGAGGATGAACTGAGATAACGTTTGTAAAGCACTTTGCAAACCTAAATGCACTATTTAATGCTAGCTACATTATTATTATTATTATTATTATATTATTATTATTATTATTATTATTATTATTATTATTATTATTATTATTATTATTAATTACAGGAGATACTGAGTTTAGCACCAAAGGATTACCCAAAACATTCAGCTTGTGATATCTTTTGGGGGAAAGTTTCAAAATTTAAAAGAGATCCTCGTTGTTCTAAGATGGAAGCAGAGTGGTACATTATGATACAAAATCAGAAGACCTAGGTTCATAGCATGCCTACTTGTATGACCTTGGTCAAGTCAACCTCCCTGGGTTTCAGTCTCCTCATCTGTAAAATGAGTAGGTTGGACAAGAGGTCTCTTCCAAGTCTAGATCTATGATCCTATAATCCTATGAATCTTTCTGTGTGGAGACAGGGGGATGGACGTCAAGTCTGTCCTTCTATAGTCAAATTCATTTTGGGACAATTGCTGAGTGGAAGGCAGCTTGGTAAGAGGTGGTCTGAGATAGCAAACAACAATAAAGGAAGGTCTTGTGATCCCATGAGGGACCCCTGGATCTTATAATGCAGTTATTTTTATAAGATATGAGAGCAGTGAGTGAGGCAGGACATTTTAGAACTGGAATGTCATCTGGGTTTAGAAACCTAGAATTTAGGGAGATGGGGGTGGGAGGTGGGGGCAGGGGGAGGCATTGGTGAGCTAGAAGGGGAAGGAACAGAAGAATGGGGCATATAGAAAAGTGGGATATATTGGGGGAGACAGGAGGAGGAGGCCAAAACTGGGGAAAAGAGAGATAGGTCTGGAAAAGGATAATGCTGGGGGGTGGGAGATGAGGAAAGTCAGAAAGGGGGGAAGAATTGGAGGTGAAGGGCCCTGGGGCAATCCAGTACTCTGGAGAATTGGTGCAGTTTCTTCTGTCTCTCTTCCATCTGCCAACCAGTCCAGGCAGGGATGCAGTAAGCCTGCTATGAGTACTGCCCCCAGCCCATGGCCAGCGGCCATCCCAGATCCCTACCCAACTAGGGACAAAGAAGTCATTGTTCTATTCAACAGATACCCCTTTGTCTGACCAGCAGGAGGAGGGGACCCCTGCATCGTCCTCCCTCAAAGGCCCCAGACTCTGTTACCTGGGGGGAGGGGCACCGGTGAGAAGAGGGGTAAGGGGAGACTAAAGAGAGGAGGTTAAGGAGGTGAGAGGAAGCAGGAAGAAGAAGGTATGGGGAGGAGGATTAAGCAGGGGAGCAGAAAGGCAGGGGGTAGGGTGATGGAGAGCAGAAGGAAGAAGGGGAAAGGAGGTGAGCAAGCTAGAAAAGGGAGATGGGAGAAAGCAGTGTTTCCTTCACCACCAGCAGCTACCCCTTTTTGTCCCCACCCCCATTTAGTACCTCCTCCCTTGTTTACTCAGCTGAAAGCCCTCCCCCATCCCCACCTCCTGACCTGGGCATGTCGGATTTTTACCTGATCTTCCATTCAGGCCTACTCCTGCAACCACACCCTTCTAAGGGCCTGCATTTTCTGGCTCTTCTCCCCAGACCCCCGGCTACCCCTGTTGCCCAGGCTGTCCTTCCCCTTCTCACCTGCAGCTCTGTGATAGACATAATTTCCTGCCAGGTCAGCTCCATCTCTCCCAGCTCTGGGGCAGCGAGCAGTGTAGCCCGGTTCCTGCTCTGCTGTGGAGGACACGGGGGCATCCTACCAGGCCAGGAGCCAGGGAAGGCACCCCCAGGCCGAGGTCACCCAAGCAACCTGAAATGATGAAGTGAGAAGGGTGAGGATCTCACCTACCAGAGTGCATCTTGTCCCTCCTCCAGCTTGGGTGGGAAGGGGCATCTCACCCCATACCAATTCTCTTCGACTCCTGTTTCTCTCATTTGACCACCTAGTTCGTTCCATGAGCTGGGAAGTCCTTAGTATCACAGAATCCACCTTCTTGTTAAAACAAATTCTTTGTCTTTGGAGAGGCAGTAGCAGGACCTTGACCTTCCCTAGACCAAAGACCTCTCTTCCATTCCTCCTCACACCCCAAAACCACACCCACAATCAGGGAAGGGAGCCAGGACTCCAGGGTTTTTTCTCTGGGGTAACATCAGAAATTTATTTCTCTCCCTCATTTTGCCTCTCATTTCCTGGATCGTAACCTTTTTTCTTCCTAAGATATTTAAGAACCTTGAGATGCTTAAGAGGCAGTGCCATGGAAAGAGTCAACCACCTCATCAACCCCAGGCCTGGTCCTTGATAATAGCTTTACCCTCTCTTATTTCCCCACCCTAGGCTCCTCCTGGCTGGGGGAGATAAGAGGTTATCAGCCCTAGGGCAAAGAGCAGAGTAGGAAAGAAAGATAGGGTTTCTAGGCATAACCTCTGTGCCTCTGGCCCCAAAGGGGTCATATTTATCCATTCACCAGCCCACATAAACAGGTTTCTTTTCAAACCGGGATCTCTTCAAAGCAAAGTTTATGCAGAAGTTCTTTTTGCTATTTACCCTCAATACATTCTTCCCTATGATATTTCCAGTTGTTCCATCCATTGAGGAATCTTTTTTGGAGACATGGGGATCCTTACCTTTATCACCATTCCCAATCTGCTTTTCTCTAGCCAGCTCAGCTCCCCAGTCCACATCCCTTTTCAACTCATCCTTTCTCTGGTGGGAGAGGTAGGGCAAGGTGAGGAGGGGATTTGAGGAGAGGTAGTTGGGAGTGGGTGGGAGGAGGAAAGCTGGCCTAAACTCTAAAAGCTGTCAAGACAGCCCCCCATCACCTTCATTGGGTTCTCCCTAGACTCAAGCAATAAGAAACAAGAAGAAACTTGAGCAGAGGGGGTTTGAGGGAGACATCAAGAGGGAGCTCTTCATAATTTAGAGTCAGTGACCTCCTCTAGGTTAGAGTCAGAGACCTAGTGGCAGCAAGGAGAATAGAGGGGGAACTCACTTTTCTTGGCAATCCTTTAACATAGGGGAAACCCTCAATAATAGGTCTTGAAGACAGAAATGCTCTAATGATCTCAGCAGTATGTATGACCTTAGAAGTTGACATTCCTAATCAACCATGGTTAATTAACATAGACTCTGCTCCTTAATTAGGCACATAAACTCAAAGAGTCGTATTCAATAGCCCAATTTAGTGAGAACCTGAAAAGGATCTTATGTGTGCATGAGGTTTTGTTAAGTTTTATTAGTGATATCGATAAAAGTAGGAGAATGATTTGTAATATTATTAACAGTAATACCCACAAACATGAGGATAATTCCAATAACCCTTGCCTTCTTCCCCTACTGACCTTCTCTACTCATGTTCCTCTCTTCTAGTGTCCCCCATTCCCTGCATCGTGGAATCGTAGATTTATGTCTGAAGGGGCCTTCTTAGACTCCTCATCTGGTCCAACCCTCTCCTTTTATAGTGGAGGAAGCTAATGACTGGAGAGCTTAGACTTGCCCAAGCTCACACAATTAGCAATGGACAGATATGGGATTTGAAAACTGACCCTGTGACTCCCCATCTAGTATTCTCCTTCCCCCCTGATTCCCAACCCTCACTGCTCTCCTCCAAGTACTCTTCCAAATATCATTGCTTCCCTCCCAACCTCTCCCCAGCTGGGCCACAGTGCTCATAGCCCTGGAGAAATGTCTACTTGGGTTCAGGCTGGCTATAGTCATAGGATAAATCCCCATGTGTCCTGGGCCAAGTGGGTGGGGTGTTTGTGTTCTCTTCTTGATGCCATTTCAACACCGGAACCCCCAACCTCTGGCCCCCTACTTTGGGTTCTGGTCGGAAATTGTGTAAAAGCAAAGTGAATGAAGAACAGTCACTCCTGAGTCCCTTTAAGGGAGGGGTGGGGGGAATGGCTCTTACTTCATAGATTTGCCCCCTCTTTCCCTTAACCTACCCCCAAGCTAACCCTGACTACTGCTCACTTTCTCTTTGTCTGCTTCTCTTGGAAGGGGCTTCTGCCCTTGCCCCTCTCAGGGTGTCATCAGGCAGAAGACCTAGGATCTGCTTTGCTCTCTACCAGTAACTACCCACATGAGCTTGGGCACGTCACTGAAACCCTCTGACTCTCTATTGCCTCATCTTTAAATGCAGATAGTGCCCTGTGTGTAAAAAAGCATGTTGTCTTGAGGTCCTTTCAAGACCCAAGATCTATAATTTTATGATTTTTCTCTCTCCCTTGGCCTTAGAATCCTTTCCCTTTTGCCCCTTTTCCTGAGGTTCTGTATCCTCCACTCCTCAGGAAAGTAGGGATGTATCTCTGAGTTGGTTTTACCCCATCTCTGTAAGGGGAACTTAAGGTATTTGTGCCTTGGGGTAGGGAAGGGGTAATGTTCTCTCCACCCTAACCTGGTGATGGTCAAGAGTCCCCTCAAAAATATCTTTATCTTCATCGGCCCTTAGGGCTCTCTATTACAGGAAAGAGCTGGTTGAGACCCCGTGGAGTGGGGAGAAAAAAGGAGTGGATAGATGGTGAAAAAGATTACTCTGAGGAGAAAGGTTGTGGGGTAGTCTGGGGGAGAGAGCCAAGGATTAGTGGTGAGACACTGAGGATATCTGTGACTATGACATAAAATTAATTCCATACAAATGCATTTAAGTTGATTTCTTAGGGATTTTCACCTGAGCGAGGACTTCTCCCTGTCTCTTTATCATTTTCCAGGTGGTCATTCAATAGTGCATACAGCTTCTTTCTAGGGCCATTTTTTTCCATCCTCCTGCCTCCATGTTGAATGGTCTCTTTCTTAGTCTACACAAATAGAAGTTTAAAATACTCAGCAGAATACAGAGATTTCTAAGGATGGAAACACCTTTCCCCTCAGACTACCCCTGCCCTCTGTCCACCCCCTCTTCTGAGTTCTTCTGCTCCGAACATTCTTGATGGAATCTCTAAGCACTTGCAGAAAGATTTCGGAGCCCTGTGAGGAATAGAGAATTTGGGTCACCTAGGGAGGGAGCACCAAGACCTGAGAACCGAAGATGACGAGGAAAGGAAGGAGAAACCCCCAAATCCTGCTTCCCAGGGTTTCCACTGTGCCCTAGAACTCAAGTATCCCTGAGTTCTGGGCTTCCTGATATGGGTCCTGGTTTCAAGGTCTCTATTTTTGACCCTTTTTTGTTTCCATACTGAACTCCCAATCAGGAGGTGACCTTACCTCTCGTGGTGGTGATGGTGGTGGTGGTGGTGGTCAAGAAAAGTTGGCTAAAACTGGAGAAAGAGAGATAGAAGAAAGGAAGGAGAGAAAACAGGACCAACTCAGAGAGAAAGGGCTAGAAAGGAAGAGTTTGTTGATCAGGTCAGGACTCTGTGCCTTGGGGGCTTCAGTAACTCAGACTCTATGTGTGTGTGTGTGTGTGTGTGTGTGTGTGTGTGTGGAATATAAGTAGAACTGGGGAAGGTGGGGGGGGGGGTGCAGACAGAGAATGCTATCCAGTCAGTCTCCTCTCCAGCTTCCACTCTGCTTATTCTTTGGGGAAGCAGTGAGAAGAGAAGGTAAGGAAGGAAACCTCTTTCTCTCCATAATGCTCACTTTCCCCAGTCTAGTCTCTCCAACCCCAACCCAGCCTCCTCTCTGAAAGAAACCACTTTTCTCTTTCTCCTCTTTCTTCATTTCTAATTCTGAATCTACTTTTCTCCATCTTTCCAGAACAACAAAAAAATAAACTGAGGCATGGAACCAGGTATCATGAGTGGACCTATCCTCTGCCTTTACACTTCTTCCATTTACCTTCCTCTGCCACACATACAACACCCAAATTTAACCTATTAGGAACCTTGGGTTGGGACAGGGTAGTTATGTGACTCTGAGTGTGTATATACATATACATATATGGATGGATGAGTGGGAGAAGGTTGGCACGTACTGAGGTCTCTCATTTCTTCAAATGTACTTAGTTATGTGGTGAGGACACCATTATTACTGGTTTTGTCCAGTTATTCCTGTTTCTTCCTCCCTTGTCTTCCTCAGGCCTCTCCAAACCTTTTTGGCCAATCCTTCAAATAATCCATCCCCACTTCTATTTCTTGAGACATCTATCTTTGTGTACTTTGTCACCTGAGGATCTCCAAGTGTGTAACCTACATCTATTTGCCTTTCCAAAGACATTTCCTGACCCAAAGATCCAATCCCAGGACTTGGAATAAGCAGAGGTTCTCCTGGAAACTTAAGAATTCTTTTTGCCCTAATTTCCGCATCAGAATCCCCCTTTCAGTCCCTTACCTGTGGCAGTGTCCAGGCAGTGGAGAGAAGGAGGAGGGATGTCTCTCTTGGTATTTCTGTCTCTGAGAAGGCAAAGAGATGGGGCAGGCCCCACTGATGTCACTGGGAGGAGAGGTGGAGATCTGTTCCTTGCAGCATATCCAAGGGCTGAGTTCAAGGGCTCAGGCGGTAAGCCAGAGGATCCTGAGGCAGCTGAAACCTCCTCTCCAAACCCCCAGGCTGTGGGTTATCTGTCCCTCCTCCCAACCTCCCCTTTCTCCCTGGGCCCTCCTCTCCTCCTGCCCCTTCTGGCTGACAGAGGAAACTTGAGCCCTGTGTGGTTTCTGCCCACACCTCCTACTCCACCCCCCACCCCTACTTACTGGGCAGACAAGGGTGCGGAGGGCCACGCATGCACGCTCCGTGCCCCCTGGGCTTCAGTTTCTTCCATTCTATGTATATGTTAGATTTTAATTGTGGCAGCCCCATCTGAAAACAGCCTGCAAGCCCTTACACTAGTTCTGACCTCTGGTAGTCCTGGGTGACTGAGATGAGGAATGGAGGAGGCCTCAAAAAGATGGCAATGACCTATACCTGTCCAGCTTCCCATTCTACTGGGTAGGTGGAGGTGTGTGGGTCAGAACATTTGGAATCCTCATTTCAGGATGCCTCATTATGGACCATGGGGAGAGGGGAGACTGATGTGCCAGAGGAAAAGGGGGAATCAGATGCTTTGATGTTTCTCTACCTGTGACCTTCTCCCCTCCCCCTCTGCCTCATATGGCCTGGGACAAAGGCCTCTTTCTTGGCCGGGGTGTGTGTTTGTGTGTTTGGGGTGGGGTGGGGGGGACGACAGAGCAGGATGACTCACCTGCCTTAAAGGGATGCCTTTGGCTTCCTCCTGCTCATCTCTGTTGTCCCAGACAGGGTGCCCCTACAGCCTGCCAGCTGAATACCCCAAATAGGCCAACACAAGCATCCCATTCCTGAAAAACTTCGACCTCTTCTATGTGTTTAGCAATTAGGGCCCTAGAGTAAACACTGCATCCATTCACTTACTCAGATGTACACAACTCTTGTTCCACCCCAAATAGGCACAGTTCAGGTGGGAAGGAGATTCTCTGAACTTTCTTGATGTCCCCCTGTCCTTTCCACCCTTCCCCTCCTGTTTTCTGGTGTTCTGTAATTGTTTTAGTAGAAGGAATACTGGATTTGGATTTTGATGGCATGAATTTGATTCTTGGCTTTCCTATGTGCTCTTTGAGTGATCTTGAACAAGTCACTTAACTAAACCTCTCTGGGCTACAGTTCTCTATAAAATGAGGGACTTTGGGCTAAATTGTCTCTAAGATCACTGCCCAGCTCCAGATCCTGGGAACTCTATTAATTCTTCCTGATATCTAACCTCAGTCCTTCAAACTGTACCTTAAACCCATTTTCCTTTATTCTAATAAAGAACCATAGATTTAGAGCCCAAATGGAACTAAGAGGCCATCTGGTCATGGGATCACATGATCTCAGTTCTAGAGCTGGCAAGGAAAGGACCACAGAGGCCATCTCCTTTTATAAGGGGCCGATGAAGAGTTTGTGGTTCAGGAGATTAAGTGACCCTGCCTAACATCACACAGGTAGTATTCGAACTGAGATTTGAACCCAGGTCCTCTGATTTCAGTCTAATGCTCTTTCCACTTTGCTATCCAGAGTCTTCCCTAGCAGCTTCTTGCATCTGTGAATGTCTTAGTAGGGGTTGGGAGGGTAGAGTAGGACTTTGTATGCATTGCCTGTGTAGAACAGGAGGCAAAGACACCAAATGCTTGTCTGCTCAGGGAATCATAAAACCTCTTTGTACCCCAGATCGGTACCAGTCTAGGTATACACCTGTTATGTTCCACCAGCTGGTACCAGGCTGAGGTGCCTTATGTACATTCTGGTTTGCTCTGGCATTCCATAAGCTGGTCACATGTGGAAACCTCCAAGGCCCCCTGTTAGAACTCTATGCAGATGATGTGAATGGTGGGAAATATAACACTCATGGCTTGTGGCAGACTGATTGTATCATGTGTTACAATCAATCAGCAGGCATGGGTTGATGGCCTAGGTGGGAGGTCAAACATCTAAATTGGAGGGCTGGATATGATGCTTTTCAGCTTCATGTCTGTGGGCAGTTCATTCAATTTAGCAAATATTAAATGCCTACTCTGTTCAAGGTCCTGGGCAGGCCTTGAAGTACATTAAAAAAAAACCCGCAATAAAAATGGCATAATCCCTCCTCAAGGAACCCACACTAATAATGCAAGTTTCAGTTGTCTCATCTGCAGAGTACTGGTTCTGGAGTCAGGATGTCTGACCTGAGTTCAAATCCAGTCTTAGGCACTTATTGGTTATGTGACCCTGGACAAATCATTTAACCTCTGTTTGCCTCAGTTTCCTCAAGTGGGAGTGGCACTTATAATAACACCTAGTCCCAGGGTTGTTGAGAGAGGATCAAATGAGATAATATTTGTAGAAGTGCTTAGCATATTGCCTGGCACATAGTAGGTGCTATATAACTGCTTATTTCTTTCCCTTCCCTTTCCTTGTAAAATAGGTATAATATTTGCACTAACGTCCTCACAAGTAAATATCAAATGAGATATGGTCAGATACTAGGCTTTGTCATCATAAAATGCTGCTGTATAAAATACGAGTGGTTATTGAAGGAAAGAAGGAAATAGGCATTTATATAGTACTAAACTATTTTACAATATTATCCCATTTAATCTTCTCAAACAACCCTGGGAGGTAGGTACTATTATTATCCCCCATTTTACAGTTGAGGAAATTGAGGAAGACAGAGACTAAGTGACTTATCCAGGGTCACACAGCCAATAAGTGTCTAAGGCTGGATTTGAACACAGGTCTTCCGGACTTCAGGTCAATCTGTTGTGCCACCAGCTGCCTCTGCCTATTGATTGATTGAGTAGGAATGCTGGGGACACACTAACATGTAATTCAGTTTGAGAATTCAGTAACAATTAATTGACCATATTCCAGGTTATAGGAATACAAAGCTACTAGGCAATAGGGATACAAAAATGAGCTTACATCCTACTGAGGGAGAAGGTCAGAATGTGTGCATAAATAAGTATATATGGGTGTGTGTGTGTGTGTCTGTGTGTATATACACACACATATATATAATATATATGTAAACATATATATAAAATATATATATATAAATAAGTATATTCAAAATGTATACAGAGTCAACATAAAGAATTTTTTGTTGACATGGGAGAAGGAAGCACTAACAATTAGGTGATCAGGCAAGAACTCATGGAGGATGTGGTACCTTTGAATAAGGGTTGGGGTACTGCAAAGCCAAGATTAGGAGTGACAGCATTCTAGCCATGTCCTAGGATATCCCATGGGATAACCTGGGCTAAGGCACAACATTCTGAGGTGGTATGTAGTATATAAGGAAAAGAGAAGTAGTCCAGGTTAGATCATAGAGTGAGAAGGAATAGAATAGAATAGAATAGAATAGAATAGAATAGAATAGAATAGAATAGAATAGAATAGGATATAATATAATATAATATAATTAATATAATATAATATAAGACAGGAATCCCCACCAATAAAAAGAGAGGTGCAAATCAAAGCCAATCTGAGGTTCCACCCAGGAAAATGGCAAAGATGACAGAAGATGGGAAGAGTCAATGCTGGAGGGGCTGTAGAAAGATAAGTCCACTATAGTGTCCTGTTGGTGGAGGTGGGAATTGGTTCAACCATTCTAGAAAGCAAATTTGGAATGATCCTAACGAGGTGATGAAAATATCCATACTCTTTGACCTTGAGATCCCACTCCTAGGCATATGTAAGTCAAAAACAGAAAGATCCAATATAAACCAAAATATTTATAGTAGCACTTTTCGTAGTAACAAAGAATTGGAAACAAAGTAGAAGCCATTGGTTGGAGAATAACTAACCCAAGTGAGGAGCACAAAGGTGATAGAATATTATTTTGCCAGAAGGAACAATGACTACGAAGAATACAGGGAGTCATGGCAAAGCTTCTGTGAATTGATGCCAGGTAAACCAGGAAGAAAATGCACCCAGGAGTACAACAAGGTAAGCGGAAAGAACAACGCTGTGTAATTGCAATGAGCAAGTTTCGCTGGAGGAAGAGACTAGAGCGACAGAGCCAAAAATGGGGCTCTGGCTAAACGTATGATGGGACCTAACTGGTGTGTTGGTTAACTGCGTTCAACTGCCTTCTTGTGAGTGTTCTCTTTCTTTTTAATTTTTTTGTTATAAGAGATGGTTTTCTGCATGGTAAAGAGGGGAGAGTTATAGTGGGGAACTGAATGACGTAAACACAAAAAAGATCAATAAAAATTAAACAAACAAAAGAACAGGTATCCTTGCTAGCCAGGGAGTTCCAGTCTGATTGGAGATGCGAGACTGTTTTGTAAAACTTTTCAGCATATTCCTTATAAGTGCTTACGTAAAGGAGTGAGTGAGTAAGTGGGTTCTGAGCCAGGAGGTGGTGGTGGCCCTGTGATGAATGTTGAGTGGTCTTTGACAATCCATCAACTTTACAGAGATGATAGAGTAGGGCAGGGACATCCCTCAGCCAGACCAAGTCCTTTCTAGTAGGTAAAAGCCACAATATTTTTTTCTTCCTTTTCAAAGCTTGGTCCTGTTACCAGAATTAGATTTGCAATCTCCTGGGGATAGTGCTGAGAATGATTCTTTAAGCCTCTGACCATGGAATTCTGTGATCTGTAGTCTTCATTTGACTTGGGCCAGCTCTGTCTTTTGTGTGTGTGTTTGTGTGTGTGTGTGGGTGTGTGTGTATGTGTGTGGCAATTGGGGTTAAGTGACTTGCCCAGAGTCATACAGCTTAGTGAGTGTTATGCGTCTGAGGCCACATTTGAACTCAGGTCCTCCTGACTCCAGGGTCCGTGCTATAATCACTGTGCCACCCAGCTGCCCCCAGGTCTGTCTTAATTCAAATCTCCCCCAAAGGAGCTAGGCGGCTCTGTAGATGGAACTCTGAATTTCGAGTCAGGAAGACCTGAGTTCAAATACAGACTCCAATAATTACTAGCGGTGTGACCCTGAGCAAATCACTTAGCCTTTGCTTACCTCAGTTTCCTTAACTATAAAATGGGGATACTAACAGCACTTATCTCACAAGGCTGTAGTAAGGATCAAATGAACTAATATTTGTAAAAAAAAAAAGTACTCAGCACAGTGCTTGACACATAGTAGACACTAAATACATGTTTATTCTCCCCCCTCACCTCAAGGATTTCTGACTAAGTTGGGCTTTGGAGGGTAGCAGAGGAATGGTACCAGGATAACAACATGTTTCTGTAATGTTTTATGCTTTGCTAAAGCGCTACTCTGATATCTTACTATGGCATGGAGATGATTCTAGGTCCTGGGATGCTGGTCTAAACTTTGGCACATTCTATCAGGCTGAAAAAGTTTTCAATAAAAGTCCAGCAGGGCTTGTATGTTATCTCAAGATCAGGGTAGCATCATAGGTCCATATATCTGGAGTTAGAAGGGATCTTGGAGGACATCCCCAACCACTTTCATCTATCCATCCATCCATCTACCTACCTACCTCTTTCTATTATTCATTCATCTATTTATTTATCCATTTATCTATCTAATTAATTATTTTGATAATAAATAAGCATAGTCAAGGAAAACAAATCCACACACTTGCCATGTCCTAAAATGAATGCTTCATCCTTTACTTTGGGTTCCTCACCCTTCTGTCAGGAGATGAGTAGCATGCTTCCCCAAAGCTCAAGTTATGATTGGTCATTGATGAGCATTACTGAGTCTTTCCAAGGTGTCTTTCTATGCAGTGTTATTGTTTGTTAAACCACAAGTCCAAAAGACTGAAGGTGAACATGCCACCTACCTCCTGCCAGAGAAGTCATGGACTTAAAATGCCAAATGAGACATGCATTTTGAGACATGGCCTATGTAATATTTGTTATTACAAAATAACATTTGTTATGAGGGTTTTCTTTTTAATTTTAAAATTGTTTAATTGGGGGAGCAATAGAAGGGAAAGATAAATGCTTGCAAAATAAATTTTTAAAAAACCTATTTATTATATAAATTATTCTGGTAGTGCCCATTTTACCAATTCTTTCATTTTATAGAGGAGGAAATGGAGGCCCAATGAGGTTAAGTGATTTGCCCAAAGTCACACAGGTGGTAAATAGCAGATATAGGATTTGAACCCAGGTCCTGTGGCTCCAGTTATGGAGAGAGGGTCCTTTGGGTGCATGGTGGGGAAGTCCAAGGAGTTGGGGATGAATCCAGGAGAGGGGTGAAGGAAGGAGCATGGCTAACTTGGGTCCTTTTTCAGCGGGGAGTGGCTCACCATGGGAAGGAAGGAGCTATAGGAGTGGGAACAGGGTTTTCTAGGGCAAGAGGGCCACTGGGGCATTTGTCTCACCCCTATTTTACTCTAATTTAAAGCCCTTTTCCCTTAGATGCTACATGTAGTTGTGGGAGAATGTGCCCCAGCCTCATGGTCTCATAGATCTAGAGCTGGAAACAACCTTAGAGGCCTTCTAGTCCAATGCCCTCTTTTTAGAAGAAATGAAGAAAAAAGGGCCAAGGGAGGTAGACTTGAACTCAGATTTACTAATTCCCCACCGTGACTCAGCTGCCTCTTACCTTAGAACATCCTTCTTCCATGCTGACTTCTCCACCCATTGGTGAATTTCCAGATGGCTTCCATTTTGGGGATGGGCTCAAGCCCTCCGTGTTTCGTCACCCTCTCAGCCATGCCCAACTTTGCCATCATGTCCTTGAGCAGGTACTCTTCCTGCCCCACCTGCTTTTCAATTCCCTTTTATGAGTTGTCTTCTCTAATTAGAATGTAATCTTCTTGAGGGCAAGCCCTACCTTTCTTTTTGCTTCTATATGTATCTCCAGTTTCCAGTCTGTTTGCCTGGTGCTTTTCCCATACTATATCAGAGAAGCCCATCACCAGATTGGCCCTAGGGTGATGGAATTTTCAGTTACAGTAACCCTCCAAGGCCATCTTCTTAATTATAGAGGAATTGCAATCCTCGTTGATGTTGGGGAGAATCTATGCAGAAAAAAAAAATCACAGATCTTTTGGGCCCCAGTCTGTGCTAGGCACTAGAGATACAAATACTATGAATGAAACAATGCCTACTTGCAAAGAACTTGCAATCTAATGGGGGGATATGACAAACACGTATGTAAGTATATACAGAATGAATTATAAAGTGAATAAGTGCAAATATACCCAAAGTTGTTAAAGGTAGTTGGGGAGGAAAGGCACTAATAGTTGACCAGGAGGACCAGGAAAGGTTTCAAGCAGAAGATCTTGCCCGAAGGAGAGAGGAAATAAGCATTTATATAGTGCCTACTGTGTGCCAGGTGCAGTAACAAGCACTTTACAAATATTTGATTTGATTTGTCATTTTGATCTTCACCATAACCCTGTGAAGTAGGTGCTGTTATTATCCCCGTTTTACAATTGAAGAAACTGAGGCAAATAGAGGTTAAATAACTTGCCCAATGTGATACAACTAGCAAGTGTCTGAGACCAGAACTCAGGTCTTCTCTTTCCTGGAATAGTGCTCCAGGCCCAGTGTTCTCTCCACTGCACCATCCACACAGATTGTATTCCAGGGTCAGAGGCATGATTTTAGAGTCATTGGTGGGGGGGGAGGGCACTAGAGTTGATTGAATAGGAGAGGCATATGGCCAGATCTACACTTAAAGAAAATGGTGTTAGTAGTAGTGTAGGGGGATGGACTGGAGTGGGGAGAGCCTTGAGGAAGGGAGGACAATTAGGAAGCCTTTGCAATAATCTAGGTGAGAGGTCATAAGGGTCTGAACCAAGGTAGTAGCTGTCAGTTTAGAACAGGGTTCAGATCGAGAGATATTGTTGAGGTAGAATGGCAAGATTTAACAATTGATTGAATCTATGGGGTGAGGGAGAAGTCAAGGAGGAGTCAAGATAAATATAAGCTTGCAAATCTGAGAGACTGAAAGAATGGTAGTGCGTTTTTGACAGAAATAGGGAAGTGTCAGAGAGGAGAGGGTTTTGAGTGAAAGATGAGTTCTGTTTTAGACATGTTGAATTTGAGATGTTTCTAGGATGTCGAATCTGAAATATCCAATAGGCAATTAGTGATACTGGATTGAAGCTCAGGGGAGAGACTGGGGCTAGATATACAGATCTGGAAATAAAGAGCATAAAGAGAATGATTAAGTCCGCAGGAGCTGATGAGGTCATCAAGAAAGAAAATGTCAAGAAAGAAGAGCAGGGAGCCTAGGATAGAGCATTGAGGAACACTCATGGTTAAGAGGCATGATCTATATGGTGAATCATAGAGACTTAGAAGGAGAAGTAAGACAGGTAGGAGAAAAACCAGGAGAGATCTATATCACCAAAGCCCAGAGAGAAGAATGTATTCAGGAGGAGACAATGGTCAATAGGGTAAAATGCTATAGATAAGTCAAGAACGAGGACAATGGAGGAAAAGGCCATTAGATTTGGCAACTAGGAAATCATTGGTAACTTTGGAGGGAGCAGTTCCAGTTGAATGATAAAATCAGAAGCCAGATCACAAGACTGAAGAGGGGAAATGGAGACACTGAGCATAGTTAGCTTTTTCTTGGACTTCGACTAAGAAAGGGAGGACGTAGATAGGACAATGGGGCAGGTAGGTGGTTCAGTGGATAGAGCACTGGAGGACCCAACTTCAAATCTAGCCTCAGATACTTCCTACCTTGTAACCCAGGGCAAGTCACTTAACCTCTATTTGCTTCATGGATCACTGACAAAAGGATTTAAATGGAAGACCACTCCAGTATCTTTGCCTAGAAAATCCCATGGACATTTGAGTTGTGAAGAGTCAGATAAGGCTAAATAATGACAACAACAACAACATGAGACAATAGCTTGAGGGGATGGCAAGTTTGAAGGTTGTAGAGATGGAACCAGTAGATAGCCAGAGGTCAAAGAGTAAAGAGAAAGAGGGCTTGAGTGAGACTGCAGTGTGCTGGAGAAGAGGAGAGAGGAAGGGAGCAAACATAGATGTGGAGTGGGTGGACTTGTCTAGGCCAATGCATTGTCATTCTAAGGGAAAGGAAGAGAGAATGGTGGGATGGGGGTTTGATATTAAGAAGTTTCAGTATTAAGAGAAAGAGAGAAGAGGGAGAGTGCTTTTGACAGCCTCCCTTTTCTCAGTACAGTAAG